ATATGTTCTTATTAAGATGTGCAGTGAAAATTCGAGGACGAATTTTCTTATAAAGAGGGGAGAGTTGTAACATCCGCAATACCGGGTTAGTGACTAAATTGAAAAGTTTCAGAATTTGGTGATTAACGTATAAGAATGAAATAATTTAATGATTATTGGAAATATATGATGAAGGTTATTTAGTAATTATTAAAAGAAGTTAAGGGTTAAATGGTCATTTGACCAGAAAAATTTTTTATCTTTCTTTTAAAGGTGATATAAACGTGGGAAATGAGAAACATCCAGAGTTCTCTTCTCCTTTCTTCTTCTTCATACGTGGGAGAGCAAGGCAAAGGTGAGAGTTTTATTAGTTGATTATTATTTGAATTTTAAGTTTGGTTTTGATCTTTAGTTGATGGATAAACTTAAGGAAAGCTTGGGTTACGGTAAAATCAAAGAATGGAGGGGTTAAGGGAGATTAAAGATTTGGATTTTTTATATGAAATTTTGGAAAAGAATTGATAAGTAGAATTTGAAGTTAAATTTGACTTGTCAATAGTTAAATTAAGAGATTTGGGGTGATACAATTGGATTTAGAACATATAGAAAATTTGAGTATGATTATTGAATTTCATAAGAGGAAAGGTTTTTGAGAATTAAAATGGGATAAATAAGCAAAAATGGGTTTAAGTATGTGTGTTTGAGTTTAGTATATAAAAGAGGTTGAAATAGGAAGTGTTTAAGTTGAAATGAAGTATTTTTCGTGCTGAAAATGTAATTTTGGGCTAGGGGAATCGGTACCCATTCAAGGGGAACCGATACCCCTTCAAGCGAATAAAATTCCAGAATGTCATGGGGGAATCGATACCCCCACAGGAGGGAACCGATTTCCCCTAAAGGAAAATTGTAAATATTGGTTTAATAAGTTCGTTTAAGTTGCTAGTATCAAATTACAAGGTGTAGGTATCTAATAATTGTCTTAAAATGTATAATTATGTAGATTCAAAGCCTAAACGAGTTCCGGAATCATTGACAAGTAAGATCGATAAAAAGGGAAGATAAGAGATTGGAATGGACTAGTGAGGCCAGGTGAGTGCATACTAGTGATATGTAGTGTTTAATGGAAATAAGACTTGCGATGAGTCTATTTCCTAGAGTAATATGCATGAAGTCATGAACATGATTATGTGTGGTTATAATTATATGTGATTATCTGTATTACATTGATTGTATGTATGCATGACTAAAGATAATGATATGCTTTGTATATGCTATATGATGTATGTAAGACTTTAATATGTAATAATGGAAGAACATGAAATAAGTTATATGATAGAGTAATAAGAAATGAAATGAACATGAGAGAATAAGATAATCAAGTATAAGTTATATGATATGGTATAAGTGATTATACGAGAAATGTTAGGAGACTCTAAGAAAATAGTATGAATTCGAGGGCATAAATAAGGATACATAAGTTATATAGGGAAGATTGATAAATTAAAGGAAACTATGGTTTAGGTATTATAGTGAAGAGCTACAAAGTTTTATTAAAGAGTATTGTGGAAGTCATGAGAAATTGAACTAAATAAATAGATGGTTTATGTGAGTGGAAAAGGAAAATGATATAAAATAAATGGAAATTATTTATAAGATAGCATGAGACTAATTGAACATGTAATATAAAATTTATAAAGGAGTACTTGGGTAAAATCATTATATGATACAATTATAGAGTATTACTATACAAATTATATTAAAATATGATATATGAGAATATGAGTAAGTTTATAGGATATTGATAGGACATATAAGAATATTTAAATGTATGCTGATATGAAAAAGGGAATACAAAGAAATGGAGCATAAGGTAGATAATATAATATCAGTTATTATATATCTATATGATATATGTCATCAGGTAATATGAAAGGACTCTGAAAATTGATATAAGCTATGAGAAAGTGTTCTAGGTGTTTCTATGTGTTATATGAAGCATATATGATCATATGTGAACAAGATATGATATGTATGTTTATATGAATATCTGAGAAATGATCTAAGCTATATGATATGTTATATGACATGGATCTATGTAACTACGCGAGAAAGTATATAAGCTATGTGACATGTAAATGTGACTCATATGAAAATGTTCTATGAGTAATTGAATTATGTGTTATGTGAAATGATAAGTATAAAAGAAAATGCCCATGTTATGTGTCTTGAGAGCTAGGGGTATAGTTGGCATGCAAAGAGTCGAGGGTCTATGTGGTCCTTCGGGACATATATGTATTCTTTGGAACATGTGTGAAGTCTGGTGAGACACATACTTGATCCCTAGTATATGTATATGATTCTTAAGGAATGATATGTGGTCCTTCGGGACATATATGTATTCTTTGGAACATGTGTGAAGTCTGGTGAGACACATACTTGATCCCTAGTATATGTATATGATTCTTAAGGAATGATATGTGGTCCTTATGGACATTATTATATGGCACTACGGTGCAACTCTACGCGACACTACGGTGCAATTCTATATGGCACTACGGTGCAACTCTACGCGGCACTACGGTGCAATTCTATATGGCACTTCGGTGCATTTATATGAGTTGTGGTGACAGCATTAGTGCACAACCTCCATAAACTCACATATCTATAGTTCTCACATATGTACATGGCTAATCAAGAGATATAAACAAATATATGTTAGTGATATGATAAATGTATTACAAATGATATGATGTTGTGTATGTATAGTGTTTGATTGAAAAGGTTAAGCATAAAAGTATGTGATTACATGATAAACTGCTAATGATGATTTATGTGTATGTATGTATTTATTGTTAATTAATCTGATATGATTTTACATGATATGAGGAAATCATGTAATTTGGTATAACATGATAGAACAGAACATGCATGTATTGATATATTATAAAGTGCATTACAAGTTTTTATGCCTCACTAAGTCTTCGACTTAGCGTGTGATTGTTTCACACGTAGGTTTCGAGAAGAGTAAGAGTAATGCGGAGCAAGACAGGTCAGTTCTCCTTACCAAATGTCAGATCAGAAAATATATGTACTGTATATAGAGTGTAGTTGGCATGTAGTCTAAAGATATAAATTCTATGAACTCTGATATATTTTTGTAAACGTTTTGAATAAGTTTAAATGTTATCAAAGTTTTTAAATTACTCACTATTTTATACGAATAAATGTTTGAAAAGTCAATGTGACACTTCGGACTCGTATCCGGGTCGGATACGGGTTGGGGGTGTTACAGTTATTGTCACTAGACATTCCAGTGCAACAATTCAGACCAGCAGAGACTATCAGAGTACGTCTTGAGTCATCTTTAGAGAACATGTACTATTTATGGACCATTATGTATATTTAGTTGTAACTTTGATCATTTAGGGTTAAAAGATTCGAGTTATTTTGAATTGGGATTTGAATAAAACTCATGGCTTGTAGGAAGCCTTGACCCAATAATAAGTGAAATTAGGCTTGGTTTGAGCCCAATAATGGATAAAAAGGGCTTTTTTAGTTTCTAGCTAAAATCAGAAGGACCAAGGAAGTAATTAGACCATTGTTCAAAATTAAAGCTGAAATCCTTTAATTGAAGACGATATCACGTCCGAAACCCATTCCCTTTTTTTCTTCACAAATCTTGTCTTCTTCTTTTATTCTTCAACCCATTATTTTCCTCTTGTAAGATCAAAGGTAGAAACCTTATCATTTTTCAGACCCCAATCAACATTCTAAAGGCAAGAATCAAACTCAACACTTCTAGAGCTTTCATTTGAGACCCCAAGATTAAGTTTTGGCCATGGTTGGGAAAAAATATAGATTGTGAGGGGTTGGAAGAAATAGTTGGTTCTAATCCAATTTTCAGATATTTCTAGCCTTAGGAAGTGTTTTTAAACCCTTCATAACCTCTAAATGCAGTTAGTAATCCATTCTTTGATTCTTGCTTAGTGAGAGAAGTTGGAGAGTTCTCTAAAGCTAAAGGAAAGGAAAATCTCACCTTGGGTTGATCTTTGGATACTCTTAACAGCTTAGAACTATCAAGTAACTCGCTTCTAACTCAACTATATCACATATAACTCATTAGGGTGAGTTTTGGTAGGTTGCATAGCTTAAAACATGTTCATGGTAATTTACATTGTATGGGTGTTTTCAACATGTTTACAGACTCTTTATGACCCCTAATATCAAATAAAACACTTAAACATCAATTGAGAACCTCAATGAGGCACTTATGGATAGAAAGATAGGATTTCGTGTCAAAACAGAGCACCCCATAGTGATGGTATCAATACAGTAAAAACCATCTAAAGTTGATCAATCTAAAGTCGATCAATCTTGTGATTTGAGGAGTCATTTTCCCCTATGTCTAATACGTTGAACAAGGCCTCTATTTATACTTGAGTCTCCTTACATTCAATGGTCTGTATCATTTACATCGACGATTAACATATACTCAAATCATAAAATATCCCATATCTAAGGAAATAACATCCAATTCTATTTTTTCCTTAAAAAAACATCTAATCCTATTTTATTTAAAAAAAAGTATTCAATTCTATCAAATCACATCAATTAGTATAGTTCTTTCCCTTGAACGAAGATCACTCTATATATGACAAGATTCCTTAGGATATTCTCTGATACGATGACATTTCCCCCTTTTCCAATGCCAGTATGAATGGGTTATTTAAGAAAATGGCCTATTCAAATTCTGGAGTCGAGACAAAAATTAAGTATTATACTTAGTTTAGAGAATCGAGTTTACGCCAATATTTTTATTGAAACCACCTATCCAACCTCCATCCGAATCGCATATAACACCTTCAATTGAGCCTCTACCAGTGCACGAAGACACTGCTCCATGTGAGTTCAAACACAATCAACATGCGAGAGGCTTTCTCCACAATTGATCAACCTGCGAGAGGCTCCACAATCAACCTGCAAGCTGTGGGCCTCATTGAAGCTGCTGATGCATCGGTTAGTCCTCTCTCTCCCTAGTTCGTGCCATTGCATTCTGGAGAAACCAAGCTTGGGAGACCCGTGTTCGATGGATTCCCCGGTCTGACAACTGTGTTGCCGATGCGCTTACCAAACTGGCTCCTCCAAGGTTAGCTAATATCACCTTCTTTGACGCTGCTCCTCGTGGCATCAGTAATCTGGTTCTGGCCGACGCACGCAGTCCTCCTCATCCTCCCGCTGCTGTTAATTAGTACTCTATGTCACTCTCAATTCAAAAAAAAAAGGTCAAAAAAGTTCATCATATTTTCCATAAAGAAAATAAATGTGCGAATCATCTAGTGAACTTAGCGCAAGATCAATATGATGTATTAATCTTATATATTACACCTATTAATCTGTTTATCTGCTTAAGAATATATTGACCACACAATCCAATTGTGTGCGAACATAGCGGATAAATGTTCTGAGGCTGTAATTTATTTTAGTTTTTCCCTTTTATATACCCAAAAAAAAAATATTGGCAACATAACCCACTTGTGTGTGAATTTAGGTTTCAACTCAATCCGTTCATGGGAAAGATTTTTAATTTTTGATTTGTTGATAAACGACCAATTTGAAGTATTTGGATGTGTAGTCACAGTTTGATATCTGACCGACAAAACCTTATTTAATTTGTAACGTATAATTATGATTATAAATACATTTTTTACTGTAAACTAGGAAAAAGAAGTCCAAGAAGATTATAATTTGTCTGCCTTCTCTGTCCTCTTCCAGTCTCCTTTTTGACTACAGCCCAAATAACACTAAAGTTTCCACGTTTCAATTAATTTCAGCAAACCGACAGTTCATTTTCCTTCCAACATGGATCAGAGCTTGATAAAAGCGGCTCGTACAGGACAGGTTAGCGATCTATATACAATAATTCAGACAGATGGAAATGTTTTGAGCCGCATCGATGCGGTCGAGTTTGCCTACACTCCGTTACACATCGCTGAACCAACAAGGGTTGAGCCCGATTCACCTCGCCATAAGAAAACGGCACACGGAGATGGCGCTTCGGTTTCTGGAAATCGATAAACATCTTGTTCGTGTTAGAGGGAAGAAAGGTAAAACTCCTTTGCACTGTATAAGTAAAGTTGGAAACGCCGATGGTGTGTTGGATAGGTTTTTGGAGGCTTGTCCGGAATGTATCAGAGATGTTACGACCGGGAATCGGACCGCGCTTCATATCGCTGTGGAAAACGACGGACTGGACGTCCTCCGAGTCTTACTTCGATCGCTCAGGAAGAAAGACTATTGCCGGCAAGTGATTGGCTGGAAAGACGAAAACGGTAACACTGTACTGCACGTAGCTGCGAGCTCTAACCAAACCCAGGTTCGACCCATCGTCTCTAACAATTAATATAGGGGTAAACTACTCATTAAAATTTAGGTGGTGTATCATTTATATAATTGAAGTTTTATTTTATTAAATTTTAATTTTAACTTTAATTATATTATCGATTTATTAAAATTTAAATAGTGTGACAACGTGGATAAAACCTTATTTTAAAGATTTATCTAAAATGACATCACTTTAGATGTTAAACTTTAAATATTATCAATTTTGTCATTAAACTTTTAAATAATTTATTTTTTACACTCTACTTTTTTAGTCGCCTTTGGCATCTAATAATCATCCGTCACTAATCGTCTTACACAATAAGATTGTTATCAAAATGTTTGTACTTCACTCATTTTTCTTGTTATATGATTGGTTTTTCACAAAATTCGCTTAAAATCGACGAAATTTAACAAAAAAATATACAACTTTTAGGGGTTTGAAGACTTTTTTATATTTGAGGGATTTGAGAATTTTTCAAATTTCAAACGATAAGAAGTATTAATTTGAGAAGAAGAGCATACTACAAAACTAGTCTTACGTGTCGGTCATCAGAAGAGATCAACATATTAACACGCCAAACTTTTAAAGGGATTTTCGTCGATTTTGAGTAGCATTTGTGAAAAATCAAACATAGGAGAAGAAAAATGAGTGAAATGCGGATGTTTTGGTATTGATATTATCACAAAAAACGATTGATGATTGGATGTCGACAAAGGCTAAAAAGTGTGGTGCCAAAAATGAATTTATTTAAAAGTTTAGTGACAAAATTGATCACTCCTAAAGTTAAATGCCTAAAACGATGTCCTTTTGACAATCGCGCCAAAATAATATCATTTTATCAATATCTTCATAATGATAGAAAGATATGTCCAAGTCATCATGTCGTTAAAATTTAACGATCTAATGACATAATTAAAGTTAAAATCAAAGTTTAATATTATAATTAAAAAAATTAATAATATAAACTACACATGATAAAGTTCAGTGATATCTTATTTATATAGTTATTGTTAATACAAATTAAATCTTTTGTTTTCATGAGCGACTAATAGTACCTCTTTCGTATCTCGAACTATCGATCAACCAGATTCTCAAGCTACTATTAGAATGCAAGGCTGATAAGCATGTGACGAATAGGGCTGGTTTGACGCCATTGGATATAGCACATCAACGTAATAACAGTGGAAGCATTAGTATTCTGCCTGGTTGCTGTGAGCACCATTTTTAAAACCAAACTCCAAATTAAACCCCAAACCTGGAGGCTCAAATCAGACTCCAATTACAAGCCCAAACCCCAAAATATGGACCAACCAGAAAACATAACCTAATACCCAAACCAGCCCTGAACTGGACCAAACCCGACCCGGAAGTCTAACCAACCCCCAATCACCGTATGCCTTTTTCTGCCCCAACCGAAGGCCACCCCATGTCTCCCCTAATAGCCACGCACGCCGACAGCACACTCCATCGCCAGTAGCAGAAATAATCAAGAAACAAACAAGTTGGAATCATTTCATTTCTGTAAACAAATGGGTATTTAACCCAACAAAAAATATGTAACAAGGATTTGGAAAAATCCTCAAAAAATATTGTAATTTTGTTTTCCACCGATAACACAGACTTCAAAAGGTTATTCATCCTCTATTTTCTTTTATCATATTCGAATACTACGTTTTATGTTTTTCACTGTTCGTACGAACACAACAAATAAAAAAATTATTTTCCTTTTCAGTTTTCGAATAACACCCGATTATTTACTGTTTCGTTGTCAAAAAATAAAATGATTTTCTTAAAAAAAAAAAAAAAACTTTTGCATTCTTGAATAAATAAAATTATAGCTTTTGTTTCGAATCTAGCCTAACTGAAACAATCAACCAATGCATGTTTTATTGCAAAATATAGAAGTTAAAAAAAACAGAGAGTGAATCGAATCTTTTATGGATCGTCGAAGCGTCGTCGAGTCCGGGTAGACGAAGGGTTTTAGTCCATTTTCAGGTAGTTATAGGGTTTTTTCGAGTATTTTAAGCCCTAAAATAAATACTAGGAGGCTAGATCTAGGCTCGGAGGAAGTTTCGGATCGTTTTGGTTTTTTACGGTGGCCGAAAGACGGTCAGAGGTGGGGCACGGCGACCGACAGAGTTAAGAGAACTCTCCTTTTTTTTTGTGTTTTTGGCTCAAATGAAGAAATTTGTTTTTGGTATTTATAAAAAAATTAAGGGTTTAATTGCATTAAGGCCCTTAAACCTTTGTTGTGTTTTTACAGTTTGATCCTTCAGGGACCAAAACTGATATTTTACCTTTTTGCCATGCATGTTTTATTTTTTCGTTTATTCACCGTTTAATCCCTCATATTTTAGTCTGTTTTTGCATTTTAGTCATGTAGGGACTGTTTTGTGATTTGCCCCTTTTATGCATGATTTTTTTTTATTTTTAGGATCAATTTCTTTTAGGTCCCTATAAGTTAGGCATGTTTTTACATTTTAATCATGTGTAGTGACTATTTAATTTTTTTTAAATGCGTTGATCGATTATGTAATTTTTCCTTTTTTATTTAACAATTTATTTTTAGGCTTAAATAAATGGCATAATTTTCTTTAGGTCCCTTTAGTTTATGCATGTTTTGTGTTTTAGTCACTAATCTATTTGTTTTTGTTTTGTTTCGAATTAGACTTTAAATTTTAATTTGCTTTAATTTAGCCCCTTTTATGTTTAATTTATTGCCTTTTAGTTTAATAATTTAAAATTTATGCAATTAGATCCTTATTTTATGTTTATTTTATTTTTATCCTATGCTTTTACTGTTTTTTATTTTTTATTTTTTTATTTAAGCTTATTAAATGTTTCTTTCATAGTTTAATTTATCAAATTTAATTTTAAATTAGATTAACGTTCGAATCAAGCTTAGAAATTAGGATTTCACATTAGTTTTAATTAGGCAGCAATTCGAGTCGAATTTTCGCAATAGATGCCCGATTGCTCGAATAGATCGCCCGACTTTTAAAATTTATTAATAATTAATATTTTTCTAAAAACTTTAAGTTTAATAGTTTAGAAAAATTAGGTTGTTAATTAGTCCCCCAACTTTAGAAATTATCGATTTAGGTCCTTATTCTTTTAAGTCTTTTGGAACTCAATATTTTTAGATCTTTAACCTTTAATCCCCGAACTTCGATTAGTGTCTTAATTTTGACATAATTAAATAGGTTAAATAGAGTCTTTACTTTAGGTTAGATTTCAATGTAGTTATTTAAATTTAGGGAATAATTTGAGTTGGCCCTCGCCTAAATGTTCGAGCGACCATCTCGGTTATTCGATTCAATAGCTAATTTAAAAATCAAATAGGGTAAATATTAGAGCATATATTTAGGTTTAGTCCCCTAGGTTCCTTAATTTTCATAATTTGACACCTTATGCTAGAAAAAGCCTTTAAATTACCTTAACTTAATTAGGATTAAATAAAAATTTGTTTGATTACATTGTTTTTTTAACCTAAGGCAATGTTCATTTATTAGAGAATTAATGGTATATCTCCGCAAGTATACTCAGGGAGTGACTACTGGTGATTCCCGAAATAAGTCGACATCATTTTCAAAGACTGCATCATGATTTTCTAAAAACGAGGCAAAATTCGGATATTAGGCACAATAGTTGATCTCTCGTATTTACGCTTGGAAACGAATGCTATCGGTCTCGATAAATGAATACCCTTTTCAATTTTGTATCCTTAATGATTTTCAAATTAAATAAAGATCGAACTCAAAATTTCCGATTTTAAATATAGGAAAATCAACTAGGTACCAATTTTTGGGCGCTTGTGGTGGTGCTAATCTTTCCCCACGCGTAACTGACTCCCGAACCCGATTTCAG